CCTTCCTTCCTTCCTTCCTTCCTTCCTTCCTTCCTTCCTTCCTTCCTGTCTTCCTGCCTTCACTCTGAACCCAGCAAATACTGTTCCCAGTCTGAGGATTAAAGTTGTTGCTGTGTATAAAGCACTTACAGTGAGCACTTGGCCAGGGCTGACAGCCACTCAGGAGCTTGAACTTTATCCTGAGGGCAATGGGGAGCCATTGAAGGCTTTAGGCAGAAGAATACCTGGACCAATGTATTTTCAAAATATCACTCTGCTACTTGGTGGGTTGCAGATCTCTAGCTTCCTAATTTAAGGCATTTTATCAGCCAATTAATCAAGCATTCTGTACCTAGTGGTCACTTACTACATGCCTTTGCTATACTAGATGACTGGGGAATGAAAGACACTATTTTAAAGCAATATGGTATTTATTTTAAAATTGTGCTTATATATATATATACATATATATATAAAATAAAAAATTTGCTGTCTTAGCTACAGTTCAGTAGTGTTAAGTATGTTCACACTGCTGTGCAACTTGTCTCTAAAACTCTTTCATCTTGCAAAATTAAAACTCCATCCCCGTTAAACACTAACTAGTGATTCCTTCTTCCCCCAGCCCCTGGTACCTACTATTCTATTTCCTGTCTCTGTGAATTCGACTACTCTAGGTACCCCACATAAGGGGTACCTAGTGACTGGCTTTGCTTCACTGACTGTATTGTCTTCAGGGTTTATCCATGATGTAGCAGGTGCCAGGATTTCCTTCCTGTTTGAGGCTGAGCAATATTCCATTGTATGGATGGACCACATTCTGTTTATTCCTCCATCGATGGACACCTGGGTCACTTCTACCTTTTAGCTATTGTGATTAATGCTGCTATAAACATGGGTGTGCAAATACCTTTTTTGAGACCCTGCTTTCAATTCCTTTGGATATATACCCAGAAGTGGGATTGCTGGATTCCATGGTCATTAAAAGATATTTATTTTAAAAACATAATCTAACAGAAAAAAATAGAAAATAGAATAACAATGTGTCTGTAAGCCCATTAACTGAAACATATGTTGCTGTTTTTGTGTTCTCTTCCTTCCTTGTACTCCAGTGTATACATTCTTGTTGACGTTTTTTACAGAGAAGGGGCAGCATTTTCTATTCTGAAGTTTCACTTAAAAAATTATGAACTCTAGAATGTTGCTATGTAGTCTTTATGAAAGTATCAGTGAAGTAGCTGTCTAACTTGGAAATCATTGATAGATCCTCTAACGAGCTGCTTCCCTATTGTTGGGCTGAAAGTCCTCACCAGGAGTCACTGCTATTGGAATTTTAAGTTGCCAGATGTTTCAGGACCCACCCCCTGAAAGTGTTTTCAGAGCAAGCCAGTAAGTCTTAGGCAGAACAATGTGGAAAAGAGAGGATGTGTCAGTGAATTTTCTTTTGTGCTGATTTTCTTTTGATAGCACTTAATTGCACAATGAAGGTTGAATGAGACAAATTTATAAAGTGCCCAGCAGTGTTTGGTATGTGGTGGGTGCTCAATGTGTATCTGTGTGTGAAATAAACCCCAAAATGTTTTAGGAGCTCAAATAATAGCAGGCACGCGGGAGGTGTTCAGCTCATGGGGAGTAAGTTGCCAGTGAAGAGCGTTTACTGAAAATGTGCTGTTCTAAGTACTTGACATGGATAATCTTATTTAACTGATCATAATACCGTCCAAGGTAGGTTCCGTTATCATCCCTGTTTCGTGGAAGGGAAAACACCTGGAGAAAGGTGCCCCGACTTGCCCGAGGATTTGCACGCAGGTCCCACACCAGCCTCCCTGCACCGGCGCCAGCCCTGTGCTGTATCTTTTGGCTGTGTGGCCGGGGGCCTGGGTGGCGCATGGCACACAGGGAAATGAAGCACCGGCCTGAATCAATCTGCTCTTCATTGAAAGCACTCAAAATTTGGTGTCAGGCCACTGGCGTAGGAACTGTTCGGTGGATAGTTCTTGGAGGAAGCCTAACACAGGTGATAGAATCGGGACAGCTTCAACCTGTCCTAGAAGCTCTTCCTCCCAAACCTGGAAGCCTCACTCGGTTCTCACCCCGGGCTCCCGGAGCACGGTCCCCACTGGGGGATGGCACTGACACCTGAGATGAATCTGGGATGGGAGGTCACTGTGGTCCCCAACATTTTCCCATTCTGTTTCTGCAAGTTTCATAGCTTCTCAGCGTGCAAGTATAATGATGGTTTTCACCGATGCATCTTTCTTTTCTTCCTTTATTTCCTAGGTGTATTTTCTTTGGGGGCATGCAAAGGATGTCATCCAGTCTTTCAAAACCCTGGAAAGGTAAAAAACATAGGAATTGCTTTACTGTTGCATTTGGTGTATGTGTAGAACAAACTCATCTCGGCCATCGATCTTGGGTTGTAAATATGAGACCAACTCTCTCCTCCATCCCGACAAGCAAAGCCCTCACTTGTGGCCTGGGAAGGAGACCCTGCACCATCCTCCTCTTCCTGGGGACGGTCCTGGAAGTAGGACGATATGGGGTTTCAATTCCCACGCTGCCATCTGAGACACTTTCCTTTATGATCCTCGGTTTTCCTCCTCTGTAAATGGAAATAATAGTAGAGCCAACCTCTGAGGACTGAAAGAAGTATGGATCTAAAATGTGTGCCTGGTGCATAACAAGTGCTCAGAAGGGTGGGATCTGTTCTTATATCAGTCCCCTTTGTCTCAGCAATTGTGAGGATCAAGGGAAAGAACCTATAGGATACAAGGGTGAATTAACAAGATGGGAAGTATTGTTATCATGCAAGAAAGCCCTGGGTGCACACGTACCAGCGAATCAAAGGATCAGCATTTGCTTCCTAGAAAGATCTCTTATATCCATGAGGAACAGACAACTCCCCCAGTACCATTTGAAAGGACAACAGATATTTAAAAGTTTGATTTATGGATGACCACTGGATAGAACTATTTTGATAGACTATTGATATGGAAATAACTTTCACCAATCTCCTTAGGCAGAAAGTTCAGCCTCAACAAGCAGTTAAGCATCTAGGGAGCTGCTAATGTGCACAGAGCCAGCTGCCAGGCAGGGATGATGGGCCCAGGTATCCCAGGCACGTGGTGGGAGGTCCCGGGAGCTGTGCACTGGCAGCCCGTGCTATCCCCCCCACCCCCCCATAGCCCCCAGGGGTGGCCTTGGCAGTGATCTTTAACCACCGCCTTAATGGGAGAAGCCACGCCCCCTTGCTGCGGGCTGGGGGCGGGGGAGGGGGGAGGAGCAGCAGGGAGGGGCCCGAAGCAGTACAGATGCTTCGCCTCCAGGGGAGGGGCATGGACAAATGCCCTCAAATGGGACAAATCAGGGACAGACGCGGTCCAGGCCCTGAGAACCCAGCAAAGAGAACTTTAATTGTCCCTTGGGGCAGAGCAAAGACATCCACACACAACCTCACATTGAATCTGCATGCAGGCTCTGTAAGCGTAACTTGGTAACTACGCTTCCCTGCATTGAAGGGGTGCGGTGGGCCACAGGTTCCAGCAGGTTAGGGGACGTGCCCCAGGTCTCCAGAATGCAAGTGGCAGGCCTGGGATTCCTCTCCCGGGTTGTCCCATTTTGTATGCTGGGGAGCGAGGAGTATGTGTCCGGTTTGCTCTTCTTCCCCCTGGTGAGGCTGGGCTACACTCCCAGCTCCAGGTCAGCACTGGTGGTTTTGTTCTGGGGAGTGAGTTTCACTTCACCTACTGCACAGATTGTACTTTGTAACTGATGAGACTTGGAAGGATCTCGTAGGATCTAAAGCTCACCTTAATGTCACTCTTATGGACTGAATGTTTGTGTTTCCCCAAAATTCATCTGTTGAAGCCTTTACCTTCAATGTGATGGTTTGGGGAGGCAGGACCTTTGGAGGGTAATTAGGTTTAGATGAGGTCCTGAGGATGGGGCCCCCATCATGGGGTTAGCGCCCTTATAGGAAGAGATGCCAGAGAGCTCTACATGTCTCTCTGCACACCCCCCCAGAGGAGAGGCCAGGGGGGCAGAGGGACAGAGCTGTCACCAAAACCAACCTGCTGGCACCTTGACCCCTGGCTTCAGTTTGCAGAACGGTGACCAATAACTGAGTGTTTGGTTATAGCAGCCCGAGCTAAGATGCTCGCCACCCAGCGGTGACTACCGTTAAGATTATGATCTGCTTCTTGCCAGGCTTTTTTCCACGAATAGATATTGTTTTTATTCCTTTTTTCTTTTTCTTCTTGCTCTGTTTCTTCTTCTTTTTTTTTTTTTTTTTTTTTTCCTTCCCTCCAGTTGGTAGTGTTGGTCTACCCCATGGTCTCTCCCACCTGCCCAGCGCGCCACTACTGGGGTTGGTCTCACCAGCCCCCTGCCGTGTTGGTCTGCTGGGGCTGGTCAGAGACCGCCACGCACTGGGAGGCATGAGCCACCTGAACGTTCGGCTCTCACGGTCCTGGAGGCTGGAAGTCCAAGATCAAGCAGGGCTGGAGTCAGTGGCCCGCAGACCCTGCCTCCTTGCTGTGGCCTCACCGGGCCTTGCCTCCGTGCTCAGGGAGAGAGATTGAACTCTGCTGTCTCTTCCTCCCTTTCAAAGGACACCAGGCCTACTGGATTAGGGTCTCACCATTATGACCTCACTTACCCTTGATTACCTACTTAGAGGCTCTCTCTCCAAATATGGTTACATTGGGGGTCAGAGCTTCGACAGAGGACTTTCGAGAGGACACAGGCCAGTCCATAACAACTGTTGCTGAATGTTTAATCTTTCTGAAAGTTTTGTTGCTGTTATAAATCATACTGTGATGAACATCTCTGGTCAAACATATTTTTGAACATCTCTGATGATTTGCTTGGCTTAAAGTCCTAGAATAGAATTGTTGGGGTCAAGGGCGAGACGTTTTCAACAGATGTGCATTGAGCATCTCGTCTGTACCCAGAAACTCCCGGCTGAGTGGAGTGGACTTGCCCACGTAGAAAGCACTTTCTTTTATGTGTTTACTCGTGAGGAGGTCTCTCATGCTAACCTTGCCACTTAGAGGCACTATGAGCACGATTCCCATTTGGCAGGTGAGAAAACCAAGACTCTGGATGTTGACTTTATAGCTTTTTTAAAAAGTTGTTTTTTTTTTTTTTTTTTTTAAGGATTGTTGACTTTAAACCCACTGTGATTTTCATGTGTTGCTGTGACCGCAGAGGCCCTCTGGCTTTGCTGGTGGGGTCTCTCTCTTTGCTTTTGTCACTTATGTAATAACGGCCTCAGTACATTGGGCCCATTTCCCTCCAGGCACAAAAGGGTCTTTGGCTTTGCTTTCCACGTGCTCGCTGCCCAGGATAGCAGCTACCAGCCACCTGTGGCCACCGAGCCCTTGAGCTGGGGCTACTTCCAACCCAGATGTGCAGGAAGTATACAATACACACCAGATTTCAGAGACTAGGATGAGAAACAGAATGTAAGATATCTCATTAATAATTTTTGTTGGTATTGCTTATATGTTGATATCATAGCATATTCAATAGATTGGGTTTCAGAGAAAATTATTCCAACCATTTTCACCTGTCCCTTGTCTTGCCACGTTTTAAAAATGTGGCGGCAAGAAAATCTAAAATCACACGTATGGCTCACCTCTGTGTCTCGCACCATCGGTGTGTAGACGGCACTTCTCTAGGCCTTGCACCCAGACGTTTACTCAGATCTGTCATCTGAAGGATCTCCAAGGGATGGGACGCAGCGCTGTGCTTGTTGAGTGATTGGACACAAGTCTCTCCCTGTCTTGGGAACCCTTTGCTAACCCGGATGGAGAGAGACTTGAACAAGATAGGCAGTAGAGCTTAATTTAATCTGTTTTGTTTGTAGGGCAAAGTGTTAAAACATTTTTTAGTTACTCGCCACCTTCAGGTTTTAGATTTAGACTTCTCTAGAAAAATTAGAAGATTTGGCAATCCCATAAGTGCATACAACAAAGGGCTAGAGCTGAATGGGGGCTGTTCCCTCCATTTGCTACAGACCCTACCACTCCCTAATGTGGCCCAGACCTGCTTTCTTCATTCACATTTCCTGCCAGGCCCTGAAGCCTTCAGAACTTACCACTCCGGGACTTGCTGCCCCCCCGCCTTGTCTTTTGAGCCAATATTCCACTGTCCCATGCTTTTAGTATGTCCTGGGACTTTTCTCCTGATCTAAGAATTCTAACTTGCTTCAGTCCTTTTCTCTTCCCCAGAGTGAGGTTTAGAGGAACAGGAGTTCTGAAAGCAGAGCTGAGGGCATACACTGAGATTAGAAGTGGCTCATGGAAGCCTTGTCTTTGTTGTGGTCTGGGGCTATCAGCCCCAAGTATGAGAAGGGTGACCTGGCATGAGGAAGTGATGTCTGCCTTTAGTTTGTAGGAGAGTTTCCAGGTCAGACCAGCAGGAGGCTGCGGGGAGCTTGCACAGCACGCCAGGTTCCGGCAGCAGGTGGCACGGATTAATTATCTCATCGGGTTCATGGGCCTGGGATTGGACAGGGCCGTTTGGCCCGGGAAAGAGGAGAAGAAAAGGGAGCTGTGTGCATTATAAGTAAAAGAAAAGGAAGCCTGAGGCAAACAGCATTGTCTGCATTTGTCCAAGGATCTATCCAGTGCCTCCCAGATGCCCCGGGGCAGGCTGGCCACAATCCCTAGAGCTGGGCAAGCTCAGGGGCGAGCAGATGGGCAAACACCTGTCTCCTTCTCTACGTGTGCCCGGTCATTCTGCAGCTGTCCAAAGAAGCCAAGGTTCAAACGAGGGAAGTTTGGCTTGCGGTCGCTTGTGGGAGCCCCAGAGGTGGGCTGGGGTTAACACTCAGAGGAGAGGAAAGGTCAGGGTCGAGGACCCAGTTGTACCAGTTTTCCTGCGGGCAGATCGTGGACAAGTGTGCTCTCGGTTAGACGGGTTGGGGCATGCTTCCTCTGGGGCCTGTGCTCTCCACCTGAGGAGCCATCAGTTCTGCATGCTTCAAGGATGCATCTCCCAAATCACCAGGATTTGCTGCTTCTGCTATATGCAAGGCCCATTGTTAAGTGCCTGGAGACTACCAGTGTGCATACGTCTTAAACATCAAGCATGGGGAGACTGGGGGTTTTGAGACAGGCTCTGATCCCATTGGAACCATATTCCTCACAGACCTCTCTTCTGTGCCAGAGTCCAGTGACCACCTTCCTCTTCATCTTCTTCTTCCCAGGAGTGGCTTGGCATTGAGGCAAGGGCAGGCCCTGGAGGTCAGACTAGGACAGCTCTGTTGCTTAATAGTTCTTCAAATCCCAAGGCAGCTACTGCCTTTTATTTGTGACCTCAGCCTAAGTCCTGAATCTATCTGAGACTCCAGCAGCTCAGCATGTTGCCACAGAACAGACTCTTTCTGTGCTCTCCCTCTGCCATTCTCAGTGGATTAGCGTTTCATCCCATGCTGGTTGCTTCATGGTCACAAGATAGCTGCCAGAACGCCAGCCTTCATGTCTGTATTCAAGGCTGGAAATAAAGGGGAGAGGGACAGTGAGTAGGCTTTTCTTATTCTTATCTCTTTCATCACAAAAGCAGAAGCTTTCAGTAGTGCCCAGTAATCTTGACCTCACATCCCACTGGGCAGAGTGGCCATGCCTAGCTTCAGGGGAGACCAGAGAGCAAGTCTCTGACCTGTTTCAATTTCCTTAGAGGTAAGTGGTAAGACAGAAAGGGTGTATGATGATCATTGGGTTGGCCAGCCAACAGTAAGGGCTTGCTCAGCTCTCCAGATTTCCAGTGTAGCCCTTCATCTTCCCCTCATGTTTCTCTCCTCTTCCCTTCTGGAAGAAAGGGTTTAGGGTATGGTGGGGATGGTGCGTGCTTTCAGTAAGTTTCCATCACTGGACCCCTGCTTCCAAGACCTAGTTTCTTTTTGTCCCATTGACAATGAGTTGAGTACTGGCAGGTTCAAGATTATGAGAGAATGCCAAGACTGTGGTTTTGGAAGTTCCCATGGAACTGCCTCTCCCCAGACAGGGACCCACCCAGAGTCTGAGCTGCCTGGTGAAACCAGAATCATGGCTAAGAAGGAAGCATGCACATGTGTGTGTGTGTGTGTGTGTGTGTGTGTGTGTGTAAGCATGCGTGCAGTGTCTCCATCTCACCCCCTGGGGCTTGGAGCTTCCCAGGGCTGCTCAATAACAGAGTCCTTGTGTTTTTCAGGTTTGGGGTGATACACTCGGTGTTCACCAATCTGCTTCTGTGGACCAATGGCGTCCTGAATGAATCAAAGCACCAACTTAATGAGCACAAGGAACGGCTCATCACTCTGGGCTTTGGGAACATCACAATAGGTGAGTGATAAGAGTTGCCCTGCCCCCATGCTGGAACCTCTTGGAAACCTGCAGAGACCAGAATGTTCAGGGATGGAGGGGCAGGGTCCACCCAACTCATCATTGGCCAGACAATCATCTGTTGTTGAAAATCTTTCAAAACCTCCTAAGTCCCTCATCCTGGTTCCATAAGTAGGATGTGCTGAGCATAATTAATGGTTTCTTCGGTGACTCAGGGACTTGTCAGACCCAAGGGTTATCATTTAGGGTACCATTTCTCACGGTAGAGTTTGGTATGGAAGTCAATGTCTTTGTGTACAACTCTGGAAGATTGGCAGTCATTGTGCTTTTAATTAAGCCTCTATTACCAGTTCATTTGACTAAAAGTATAGCTTTAAAATACCCAGAGAAGTCTAAGGGTTGCCGTTAATTGGTTTTAGTTTGTTTGAAGTTTTTATTGAACTCTTCTGGGCTTGCACTTTTGGCCCATCTTTATTCCCCCTTGCTCCTATTTGAGAGCGCATGATGCCAGTCAACCTACTGCCAAAGTTCTTTAGCATTTATGACCTGTTGCTTCTCCATTAGGGCAATGGGATGGGGCTCGTGGGAATGTGGAGAGGGGAAATGTACCGGGAACCGGATATCCCAGATTTGGGTCTTGTTCTCATCACGTCCTGGCTGTGTGACTTTTGGAAGCCATTCAACCTCTCTGGGCCTCCCTTTCCTCATTCATAGAGTGAGGAGACCTGTACCAGGCACTTTCAGGGGGTCCTTCCAGCTTTGATGTATTACACTCTACACTCACTGTACGACCCCAGGCCCGTCACCGAGGGCAACTTCATTTTTTTTTTAAAATTTTTATATGTATTTGAGAGAGAGAGAGAGAGAGAGAGCAAGGGGGGGGAGGGGCAGAGGGAGAGCTAGGATCTCAAGCAGACTTGAGATTTACCACCCAGCACAGAGCCAGACTCTGGGCTTGATGCCTAACTGACTGAGCCACCCAGGTGCCCTGGGGGCAACCTTAAAACTGTTTCCTCACCAGTTGGGTGGGGATGGTGAAATCAGGGATACATGCTACTTCTTTACCTCTTAACCCCTGCTCTACCCTGGCAGCCCGCTCTTGGGGAAGTCCTTCTCTTTTCCTTGTTGGTGCCAATAACAGTAATAGCAGTGAAAACAACAACAACAAACTTTTATTAAGTGTCTACTGAGTGTCTGGCAGGCTACTCTAGTCCCTCCACGTGGCACATTTAATTCTGGACCCAAAACACCATGGGGTAGTCAGTGTTGACTTTATCATATGGATGAAGCCATCAAGCCACAGAGAAGTTAAGTAACTGGTCCAGGTTCACACAGCAAGTAAATGATCGAACCAGGATTTTATTTGGCTCCAGGAACTTCTGTGGAAAGATGGAATTGGATAAATTTACAAAGAAAGGACTCCATCAGCTCTAACATTCTGTTCATCTGAGACTTTCTCCTCGATTTCTTCCCCTAACTTTTGCGTAGTAGCATACTGGGTTACAAGGGATGGGAAACTCCTCATGAATTCAAAATTGCAGTATTCTGCAAAGGTAAGGTGATTTGTGCTGCCACAAAGCTTTCCATTTGGTTTTATACCTGGCATATGCAAATCATAAGCTAAAACAATGACAAAGTGCAGAGAAAAAAAAATCTACAATAACACCTACCCAGAAATGCAGTTCCATGCTGTTAATATTGGCTTATTTCTTTGCAGTGTTCTATTTATTTATTTATAGTTAAGATCATACTATATATATATTCAATCTTTTTTTTTGACTGCAGCCTATAATAAGAAATAGACCTTAAGCTGCAACCTGAATGCACACAGACCTGTGTGTGTACACACATATGTCATGAAATAATAACCTTACCATATTAGAGACACATTTCTATTGTTACTGATGTCATTCCACTGCATTCTGTTCTATTCCATGACAAGTCTACTCTGTTGAAAAAATATATTGGCAGCTACCTGCTAAATTGATTTCACAACTGAGTACTGAGCTGTGATAAGCATTTAGAAGATACTGTATATACAATTTTTTCTTACTTATTTCCATTGTTATGTAACATGATTATTTTCCTGTATCATTAAAACACAACTTAATTATAATTGGTAATGGCTGCCTACTATTCCATCGTATGGATGTACCAAAATTCACTTAACAGTTTCTAAATTGTTGGGCACTAGAGTTTCTCTCTCTCTCTCTCATGTGCATGCACACACACAAACACACATGCACACACACAGTTTTACCTAATTCTTTGATCACATTTTTGACTTGTCCCTTAAAATAGATTGGAATTATAGGTCAGAGACTATAGCTGTATCCTCTTTAAGGCCTTTGTTACATATTTTATTATTTATTTACAGCATTTTCGCTCCTTCTTATGAAATAGTTTTTTTTAATTTAAATTCAGTTAGCCAACCTATAGTAGTACATCATTAGTTTCAGGTGCAGTGTTCAGTGATTCAGCAGTTACGTATAACACCCAGTGCTCATCATATCACGTGCCCTCCTTAATGCCCATCACCCAGCTTGAAATAGTTCTTCGTACCATTGCCAAGTGCCTTCCAGAAGGTGGTGCCCACTCGCGTGCCGACCGTTGGTGTTTGACGGCGCCTGTCCTGCACTACACTTGCAAGTATCGAATATTCTTAGGAGCAAAGTCTTTGCTAATGAGAAGGGGCATTTTCCCTCACAAAGTTATTTTTTGAAACAATAATTTAGGGGCACCTGGGTGGCTCGGTTGGTTAAGCGTCTGCCTCTTGGTTTTGGTTTAGATCATGGTCTCGGCGTCATGAGATCCAGCCCTGTGTTGGGCTCCATGCTCAGCAGGAAGTCTTCTTCTCTCCCGTCCTCTCTACCCCTCTCCCCACCTGCACTCTCTCTCTCTCTCTCAAATAAATAAACAAATCTTTAAAAGAATCCAATAATTTAAAAAATCACACACGTAAATAATATTCACAAAGAAAGTTTAGAGAACACAGGGAAGCAAAACCTACAGGTAAGTAACAATGGACACCTTACACTTACACAATGTTACATGTCAATTATATCTCCATAAAGATGGGGGAAGAGACAAGATAGAACTTCCTTCTACTGAAAAGAAAAAAAAGAAAAGAAAAATTCCCTGCCATTTTCCCACCCAGAGCTAACCATTGTTAACCTTTTAGCTTATATCGTTCCAGATTTTTTCTGTGTCTGTCTGTCATCTATCATCCATATACTTATAGTTTATAAAAATGGAATTATATTCTGTCCTCTTTAGCAAGCTTCTTTTGTTCAGCAGAATCTCGTGAACACCTTTAGATGTTAAGTAAATTTCCACAATACCATTCACAAGGGCTGATGTATGGATAAACTCTGATTCATGCAGTTAGTACTCATGGCTGTCAATATAGCCATGATATCAAACATGACAATAAGCCACCAAACAAAGCTTTAATTCAATGGGAAAACCCACGTGTGAATCCTCAGTGAAAATATTTCCTTGTGCTTTTCCACTTGCCCACTGACCATGCTAACCACCCTCCAATGCATGTCCTCTGGCCCCCAGTCTTGGATGACCACACGCCTCCATGTAACTGCTCGCCCCCGACGTTCTGCTCTGCCATCTCCCAGGGGATCTACTACCTCTACCCCTTCAACATAGAGTATCAGATCCTGGCTTCCACGATGCTCTACGTCCTGTGGAAGAACATCGGACGCAAAGTGGACAGTCAACAGCATCAGAACATACAGTTCAAATTTCCCGGGGTCATGGCGGGCTCGGTCCTGGGCCTGACTGTACTGGCCGCCACGATTGGGATTGTGGTGGTATATCTGATTCAGATCGGGCGCTCCAAAACCAAGAGCGAGTTGGCACTCATCATGTTCTACCTGTATGCCATCGCCTTGCTGATGCTCATGGGGGCCGCGGGACTGTTCGGAATCTGGATTTACAGGATAGACGAGAAATCTCTAGATGAGTCTAGAAACCCAGCCCGCAAACTGGACGCGGACCTCTTGGTGGGCACTGCCTCTGGCTCCTGGCTCATCTCCTGGGGCTCCATCTTGGCCATCCTCTGTGCTGAAGCCCGCCCCCCCTACACCTGGTTCAACCTGCCCTACTCCATCCTGGTGATTGCTGAGAAATACATCCAGAACCTCTTCATCATTGAGTCCATTCACCGGGAGCCGGAGAAGCTCTCTGAGGACATCAGAACCCTGCGGGTAGTCACGGTCTGCAACGGTGATGCCATACCCCTCGCCTCGTCCTGCCTCAAGAGTGGAGCTGAGGCCGCGGACGTGGTTTCCCTGGGCAGTGAGATACCACATGTGGCCAATGGAAATGTGCATCTGAGAGAAGGCTGTGGCAGAGAGGCGGAGGAGGGGAGCCGGGAAGGGACCCCGAGCCCAGCCTGCCACCCCCGTTTCCTGCAGGGCCATGCCAAGAGAAGAGTGTTGAGGAATATTGCAGCCTTTTTGTTCCTCTGCAATATCTCGGTAATGTGCATTAAGTTATTTATCTTAAAAATGACCAACCTATTTTCCTTGCTTTTTTCAAATAAGGAATGGAGGCAGGTTATTAGCAAAATGATTTAAGTGTAAGGTTAAAGAATGAGGCTGGAATGAAAGCCTCTGTTCTACAAATCCACTTACTGAGTACTGTTGTGTGCTGGCGGCTGGGGTCGGGGCTAACGATCGCAGCTGAGAAGACTCCAGGTCTGTAGGTACCACTCTCCCGAGTGTGATCTGAAACAGGCCCCCCTACACGGAAGTCAGGGAGAGACAGCAGAGAGAGGCAGGTCACTCCAGCTTTGTAGGTGATGGTTTTCATAAGTCAAGGGAACTTATATACAAGGCCTGTCTTGGGCAATAGTAAGGTGAGTGAATTTCTGCACCTGTCTGCCAAATTGTAAAAGTTTATATATATGTTTACACAAAGAGAGAGAGATGAGAAAGAGAGAGAGAGAGAGAGGAGAGGCCTTAGCTGGGCTCGGTCATGTATACTATACTCTCAACACCACATCCTTATTTCAATACCACTATGTTCTTAACACCACACCCTTATTTCAGGGCTGTGTCCTTGGAGCAGCCTCTGGGAGGGAGAAAGGCCAACAGAACCCACATTCCAAGGACAAGGCAGGGGGTGAAGAGCCTCTGAGTGCCCCGGTCCAGCTCAGGGGTCAACCGGCAGTCACGTCTTTTTTGATGACCTTCTCCAACAATCTCTTTCTCAGAGAGGTCACAGTCTAGGGAGGAGGGACACAAGGGAAAAATATACAGTGAGTAGGGCAAGTGTTGGGACAGGTATGTGCAAGGTGTAATGGGAACATGGATCCAGGGAGGGACTTCAATGAGTCAGGGATGCTTGAAGTGAGGTCCAGGCTCAGTTAGGAGTGCTTTTGGCTGCAAGGAATAGAAAGCTTGGCCAGCAGGATCTTCAGTCTTAAAGATAAGAATTCTGAAGGTTGGCTACTTGGGGCTGGCCTGGCAACTGAGCCCTATCATCAATGATCCAGGTACTGTTCATCTTTCCACTTCACCATGCTTAGTGTGATGCTTGTTGCCACATGGTCACAAGGTGGCTGCAACAGCACCAACCATCACATCTGGGCTTAAGACATGAAGAAGGAGAGAAATATTAGTGCCAGGCAGAGGCTTTCACATGGCCACCTCTTGTTGCAAGAGAGGCTGGGGACGTGGAAGCTTTGCTTTCCAGCCTTTGGTGGAAAACAGCAATGTAGAAGATATCCAGTAACTCAGTTTTGGCTGCCTCCATGTCCAGGAATGCTGGAAGTTTACCAGGTGGCTAAGGCAAGCATAGGCGTTTGGAGCAGAGGGCACATGATGTTCAAAGGCACAGAGGCAGAAGACCCTCTGGTCCATTTGGGGAGCAGCACGTAGTTTAGCACGAATTCCATAATGTCAAGGAGAGCAGTGGTGGGGGAAAGAGGAAGGCAGGTCCAGTTAGTGGGTCAGCCTGGCTGAGTCTGGTCTTTATGCTGGAGGCAATAGGGGCCCCTCTCAGTTTGTGCTGTGGAATGATCAATCCCCTTAGCAGCAGGTGTGAGAAACTGGAGAGAGGTAAGCCCAAGGGCCGGGACACCTGAACAGAAGCCCTGCATCTGCCCAGATGGGAAATGATGGGCACTTGATCCAGAGCAATGGGCCTGAGGATGGAGAGAAAAAAAGGAGCAAAAAGCACTGTGTGTTGTTGGGATTTGTTCTGGAGATTCACAGAAGGATGCCAGGGCTCGGTAGAGAGGAGGGTGGAGTGGCCCCTGGTACCACACAGGCCTCTCGATGACTGGCTGGTGACATGGTGGGGATGCCCCGACCACGGGGCCTGCCTGCTGTCATGGTCATCAGCAACCTGCTGCCAGCTTCCAGGTCATCCGGGCTACTTTGTTTCCCATCAGCCACTGGCTCTTGAGCTACCTCCTCATTTCAGTTGGTGCATGCCCAGGGACTGCACATTCTGATCTGACTCTAAGGCTACAAATTGAGAGGGTCCGTCTGAAGCCATAAAGGCCACGTGTCTGCCCATCAAATCTGATTCTTGCTTTGGGTCCCCCGGACCTCGGTCCCTCTCCAGGTTGGCAGACAATTACGAGGAGCTCTGAAGGAAGAAGGGGATCCCAGAAGAGTGTGGCTCCAGGTGGGCCCTCCTCTTTCATTCAATAGGCATTTATGGAGCACCTGCTGTATGCTGGGCACTATGCGGGCGCAGCAGTGGATGAAGGAGTTAAACGGGAAGACAAGAGAGATCGATATTAGTGACCACAGCGGGGCTGCCTTTTATGTGAGGCTTGTATTCCCGAGAACGGTGTATCAGCTCATCTTATAGGGTCAGAGTTGGTTGCAGAACTCCCCTAAGGTGTATCATTTTTGTTCCAAACCCAGAGGGGTGAATAGATCTCTTTTCAGCAAGTTCAGGAAAGCTACTTTCCCCCTGGGTTCTTTGCTTGACCGCCACTGAGGAACTTGGCTTGCAAATGTGGACGAGCTTGAAGACGAAGAGCAAACGCAACAGTAGAATCAAGTGGCAACCGATGGTCTGTTGGGACCCAGAGGCCAGCCTCGGGGCTCTGTCCCAGGAGGGGAACACGTGCTGTGTCTCCATGTCTGAGCTCGGCCCTTGATGTCCCCAGGCCCTGCCTCTGTCACTGGAGAGTGAGCCAGAGGACAGAAATCATTGCTGGGTGATTGCGAGGGTGCCCCCAGCCGACTCCATGGGCAGCACTCGCAAGCCTGCGGTGGGTCCCACGGGAGGGCATCTGACAGAGGGCGGGAATTGCTCTGCTTCAGGACCAGGTGCTGGTGTCCAGGTGGGGACAGCAGCTGGTCGTGGAGTGGACAAAGAAGGGTGGTGGGGGGGACGATGGAGTTTAGGGTGTGGTGGAACATGGGGTTCTGGAGAGAGGGTGGCAGGTGAGGGTGGGGGAAGCCCGGGCAGAAGGACAGGCACGGCAGGAGATGCACAGCCAGGCAAGACTTGCTGGAAGTGCTTCAGGAGCAGAAAGGGAAATCCCAGGTGGTGAGTGAGGGCGGGTAAGGGGAAGGATGCATGAGAGGCGCCAAGGCAGACCACGCAGGGCCTCCTGAGCCACGGCCACAGCCAGGACAGAATCCTCAGTGCAGCAAAAAACCACCAAAGGGTTTCAAGGTAGGGACGGGATCTGATTCATGCTTCTTTTCTTTTTTAATCCAGCTCAATTTTTAATTGTAGTGAATAGCACATAACATAAAATTTATCATTTTAACGATTTTATTTATTTATTTTTAAAGATTTTATTTATTTATTTGACAGAGAGAGCATGAGCTGGGGGAGTGGCAGGCAGAGGGAGCAGCAGGCAGAGGTAGCAGGGAGCAGAGCTGGGAGCCCAACGCGGGACTCGATCCCATGACCCCGGGATCATGACTTGAGTCGAAGGCAGACTCTTAACCTACTGAGCCACCCAGGTGCCCCCCATTTTAACCATTTTAAAGCCTACAGTTCAGTAGTGGGAAGTCCATTCACGCTATTGTGCACCCCCTGCCACCACCCGTGTCTGACACCTTTCCACCTTGCAAACTGCAGTTCTGTAGGCACGAAACAGCCCCCGTGCCCCCCACCCTGGCTCCTGCCAACGCCACCCCACCTCCTATCTCTGTGAGTTCGACCACCCCGTGTAGCTCATGTAAGTGGGATCACACGGTATTTGTCTCTTTGCCACCAGCTTATCTCATTCTGCATAACTCCCCAGGGTCATCCACGTGGTAGTGTGTGAAGCGGGGGAGTCAAGAATGATGCCCCGGTTCTGACTTGAGCTCCTGGGGAGATGGTGATGCTATTTATGGAGGCAGGAGACTTTGAAGGGGAGGCAGGCTCAGGGAGGGCTCGGCCTGAAAGGAAGCCCCTGAGTTTAGTACTGGACACGTGCATTTTTGCGGTGCTTTGAGACACCCAGGTGAACGTAGCCAACAGGCTGATGTTTGGTTTCCTACTGCTGCGTAACAAATGACCCCAAATGGAGGACAAAAACGACAGCTGTTTGGGGCGCCTGGGTGGCTCAGTCGGTTAAGCATCTGACTCTTGATTTTGGCTCAGGTTATGATCTCAGGGTCATGGGATCAAGTCCCCCATTGGGATTCTCTCTCTCCCTCTCTAAAAAAAATAAAACAACAATAACAACAAAAAACAGCAGTGTGATTAGGTCTTATGACCTTGTGGGTTAGAACTTCTGGCAGGGCTTCGCTGGGACATTCTCCTGTCCCTCGGGGCATCAGCTGAGGCTGGTGGGCGGGCTGGGCTGCAGGGTCCAAGATCTGGTGGCTGGGGTGGGGGTTGGCTGGGAGGGCTTAGCGGGACCCTCGGCAGTATCTATACATGGGCTCTCTAGTATGGAGAGTGGGGGCCTCAGGGTTCTTATGTGGCAGCTCAGGGCCCCAGAGCCGACCTGCTGGGAGACCAGAAGTGCCAGTCTATTAGGGCCTGCCTGTGGATGTTGTGTGGCATCAGTTCTGCCATATTTTATGGGTCAAGCGGTGACAGCATCCCCCAGATTCAAGGGAAGGGGACATAGACCCACCTGCTGATGGGAGGAGGAGCAAGAACTCCAGCCAACTTAATAGCAGATATAAAGATCTGGATTTCAGGAAAGGGGGGGGTCTGTCCTTCCCTTCTCTGTCCTCTGTCTTCCCTCCCTCCTTTCCTCCATTCCTCTCTCTCCTGAACATCTATCCACTGGGTGTCTCCCGAGGGCCAGCATGGCTGTGCATGATGGGGGGCAATATGACTGAGGTCTCGCCTTCCTCCTGGTCTTGGGGGGCTTGCAAACCAGATGGCAGAGATGGCAATAAGCGTTAAGCAAGACACACCTTATAGTGACGTGTGCTCCGCAGAGAACAGGTAGAGAGGGTGTGAGGTTGCGCCTGGCGGCTGTTTCAGATCAGAAGGCCCAGGTTGCTGAGAGGGGCTTTCTCTCCCACCACATGATGAGCCATGTGCCTGGGGCCCCGGGGGTGCGGGACATCGGGCAGCAGGGTTAGCAGGTTGGCGAGGGATCAGCCAGCAGAGAGAGGGCTTTATAATCCCAGGCAGGGGTAGATTTCATTTTAAGTACGCTATGAAGACTTGTGGGGCCTTAATCAGGGAAGGGACGTGATCTTATTGGCATAAGAAACGGGTCTGGCATCTGAGTGGTGAATGCACCTGTCCGAGGGCACAGCGTAAGCCAGAGAGCAGGCAGGAGGCTACTGCAATGGTCCCGATGAGAGTGGAGAGTGGGGGCCTGGGCAGGTGCACGGGGCCAGAAATGGCTGCACGGCTGCCTGGGTGTCGTGGAGGCACGGTCCTCCAGGCTCGCTGATGGGTTGGGTGGCAGGCGGAGGGTTCTGAGGGTGAGCAGGTAAACAAGGATGACACCTGGAAGTTTGATAGCGACGGGGAAGAAGATGTTGCTAATGGTAGGGGGGCAGTTTGAGATGCAGGTTAGACACCAAGCAGCCCATGGGGTCCTCGAGGGTGGAGCAGGTGGGCGATTCAGGCTTGGGAGTCATCGGCCCATAGTGGGTACTTACAGCCAAGGCTGGGGGAGCTCATCCAGGAGTCACGTGTGTAGAGGAGAGGACCCAGGGATGAGCCCCCCAGCCAACTGTGAGAGACTGAGCAAAGGAGGAGCCAGGGAGGAGTAGCCGGAGTGGTGGGAGGAGCCTGAGAAGCAGAGCCTGAGAAGAGGGGGGCAGAGATCCGAGGTAACGCCTGTACGGAGAGCCCGTATCAGTCAGCTCCTGCTGTGTAAGGAATCACCCCACACTCAGCAACTCCAACCACACCTCTTTGTCATGGTGTCTGTGGGGCAGGAATCCAAGCACAGCTTCGCCGGTGCCTCTGCCAGGGTCTCTCACTGGGAGCAGATGGCCCAACTGGGCACTGCAGCCGCTTCAAAGCGGACTTCTGGGGGTCTTTCCCAACCTGCTCCTGGTAGCTTGTTGGGCTGAGGGCGTACGTTCCTTGAGGGCTGCTGGGCTGGGACCCCCCGCGGTGCCTGGCCACAGGGCAGCACACAACAGGGGGCAGCTCCCACTCTTGCAGGAGGGCGTGAACAAGATGGACTCTGCAGTCCTTTTGGCATCTAATCTCAGAAGTGACACCTCATGACCTCTGTCATATTCTGATGGTAGAGGCAGGTCACTAGGCTCAGCCTGACTCAAGGGGAGGAGGTTCCACAAGAACATGACTCCCAGGTGGTGGGATGGGGGGGATGTCATCCGAGAGGCTGCCTGCCGCCGTGCAGGGGTGGAGGAGGAGGAGGACCCGGGGCAGGGAGACCAAGTGGGGGGACCAGTGTGTGGTTTCCATGAGCAGCAGTGACAATAGGTTACGGCTTTCGGTTTTGCAAGCATGGTTGGGATTTTATTCTCATCTGAGCTGTGGGAGACCAGTGTCAGTGTTCGCATCTTACAGACGAGGAGACTGAGGGCTTGGAGGGGTCAGATGAGAGTCTGTAAGTGCCACAAACCCAGGTGTGGCTCCAAAGCATGTTCTCTTCTCCCCTGATTGGGGGCGGGGGGTGGTGGTGGGCAGGGCCTGGGCCAAGCCAGAGAGGAGACCACAGAATTCAGTGGCCCAGGCCCATGTGGCTGGGATCTCCCAGCACCAATGCTGGTGTGTGAAGGCGGGTGTGATAAACAGGTGACCTCTGCTGTAGGCAAACCCTGGGGGCTGTGGGAACACATACGGGGTTCCTGCCCAGACTGAGTAGATCAAGGAGGGCTTCCTGGAAGGAGTGGTATCTCAGGGCTTGGAAGAAGGTAGGATTCAGTCAAAAAGGCAGACAGGGAGCCTGTGACAGAGGAAGAGGCAGGAGCAAAGCCCTGAAGACTTGGGGGAGAAAGGCATGTCTGGCTTTCGGAAGCTGGAGTGAAGGGCGTGATGAGGGACATGGAAACGTGGACAGGTGCCCAGTCACTGGGGAATTTGGAGTCTCTCCTGAAGGCTGTCAGAGTCACTGGAGAGTGACAAGCAGAGGAATGACAAGGTCAGATGTGTGCTTTACGGAGATCACTCCCACAGTGGGGTCAGGGGTGGATGGAAGGCGTCCGCTGGAGTTGGGGGGCCAGTTGGAGGAGGTATTGGGGCCTGCAGTTGGGGGATACTGAGCACCCGACTGAGGTGAGGGCTTTGGGGACGGAGAGAATCAGGTGGGTGTGAACAGCGTTCACTCAGGATGGGGCTGAGGACGAGAGAAGGGTCAGGTGGGCTGCGCGGATTTGACCAGCTCCGTGGAGACATGAAATGCGGTGTGGAGACAGGTGTGACTCCGTGTCCCCGAGGCCAGCGCCTGGGGGTCACGTGGGGCTTCCGAGGCGGCTGCTAGAAGGGGCTCCTCTTCTCTTGCAGCTTTGGATCCCTCCTGCTTTTGGCTGCCGCCCCGAGTACGACAACGGGTTGGAGGAGATTGTCTTTGGCTTTGAACCCTGGATAATTGTGGTCAACCTGGCCATGCCTTTTTCTATTTTCTACCGAATGCACGCAGCTGCCTCTCTCTTTGAGGTCTATTGTAAGATATAGTCTGCATCCACATCAAAGCCCAAGGAGTGACCTAACAAGAGAATTCACTGGAGCCACCTGGGAATGGCCAGGCTGGGCCAACATTGCCTGACAAAAGCAAGAGGGCTGCCTTTGTCTGCACCAGTTGTGTTTCCTGCGAGCTGACCTCAGACGAATGTAACCAAGTTAGCTCAGCATCGATGAGGCAGCTGAAATCTCGCCTTGACTCGTTCATTCTGACTGAACCCAATTGATTTTACCTCCTTTTAAATGAGACCCTTTGTTTTAAAAGAATGGGATTCAGGTTGGGGAAAGAAAAATGATCAGTTTGTTTTTCATAAAAATTGTTTTCTGTTATCACGTGACTACCTACAACTTTTTCTGAGTACTGTAATCATCCTTACATCTTATCCTTCCCAGGGCTGATCAATGTAGATACAATCACGTTTAGTTCATATGGTATTTTCTGAATATGGTTAAGTTTTGGAACAAAGTTATTTTTATCATCTGGATGGGAATTAGTGTATAGATCAGTATGGAGATGTACTTCTTACCTGTAATTTTGGCACATTTTTGTTTGTGATCATTTGAGGTTTTTTAAAAAATAAGTTTTACTGTTTTCTCTCTCACTGTAAATACATATATGTCTATTACAGAAAATGTGGACATTTTAGAAGAATAGAGAGAAAAAGACCACGTCGGATGTCACTGTTCGGTGGACATTTTTGCACACCTTGATGTATTTCCCTTAGCTGTGTCCCTGCACAGGATCTTTTTTCTTGTTGTCATTGTTATACTTGCCAGTGATGATGTGGCAGGTTCCATTTTGTATCTACTTTTTCACCACTTAACAATAGAGCACAAACCTTTCCTTCACATTGTTCCAAACTCTTTGTAAATATCATTTTAATCCTGTATTACAGTCATCAAGTGGATGTGCCACACTTAGTTTCCTGTTGTTGGTTTTAGAGTGTTTATACTTTTTTGGTTTTTATAAGGGACTTTGCAAAAAATCTATCTTTGTAAAGCATTTCCTATATAATTGCTTCTATAAGACATATACTTAAAATCAGGATGCGTATTCCAAAGGTTATAAATATTTTAAAGTCTCTTAAGGAATAGTAATATTGGGAAGACCTTTGCATGTACTTTGCCATAATTATTTCAAGTTCATAATAAAATTAGTTTACTTAACCATCAATACTAATGTAAACATTTTTTCATCTGAGCATATTTTTTTGGGACAGCACAGGCAAGGGCATATTAAGAAACACCAGATTTTTTACATGACTCAAATACCTGATGTTCATTCTAGAGAAAACTAAAGACAATGGGCAGATGTACTAAAAGCAAAGTGAAAGATTGTCTATCATACCTTCTATTTAGGATGGTGGTTTTCAACCTGGTACCATCTTATCCCCTAGGGGACAATTGGCAAAGTCTGGAGACATTTTTTATTGTGCTTGCTTGGGGGGCTATAGGCATCTAGTGGGCAGATAGCACGGATGCTGCTCAACATCCCACAATGCACAGGGTGGTACCCACAGCAGAGAATTAGCTGGCCCCAAAGATTAATGGTGTCGAGGTTGAGAAACAGTGATCTAGAGGTAATTGCTGTTCATTTTTGGCACCTCAGTACCTATCAGTACACACACACACATGAATTATTTTTATATGTACTGAATTTGCATATAACTAGCTTCTTTTTTTCTTAATATACCAGCGTGTTTCTGAACTATTTTAGTATCCCCATGGCATGGATTCTCACACTTTAGCATGTGTAAGAATCATCTGGAGGATCCTATTAGGTTTCCTGCCTTCCCCTCCAGAAGTTCAGGTTCTGTTGGGCTGGAGCGGGGCTCAGGATGCTTCAATAAGCATCTCAGGTGATGCCAACTCCCTTCTAGAAACATCTCCTCTGGAGTCCACGGATCCCAAGTCAAGACTCCTGAATGACATTCCTTGACATTGTGTCCTCTTCTGCAATATGACCTTGGCGAACTTCAAAGTACATTCCGTGGAGGGATGTAGCATTCCTTATTTAGTCAGACCCTGATGTTCGACATTTAGAGACATTTGATGGTTTCTTTTTCCTTCTTTTCTTTTCTTTTTGTAATTATAAATGACGCTGTAGCAAGCATGTTCATGGCTAAGTCTTTTCATGTGTTGATAAACTATCCTGCACGAGATGACTGCATGCGAATGCCCATTTATCCAGAGGACCCCATTTTGGCTGGTGTTAATTTCCCCCTGTTCTGAGCACATTAGTACAGCCCTAGGGCCTCCGCTTGTGTGCTTAGGGCTCTGCCAAGGAGATAAAGGGAATCACAGCAATGCTGGGAACGACTGACTCAGGTGTGGGGGTTTCAGGGTGGCCACGCAGCGCCAGCAGAGCTGGGAAAAGTCAACACAGTCTTGCTCGGGCTCACAATTTCTGAGGAGGGACCTTAAAGATGGATCATCTCTTGGCCCTAAACGAGTAGAGTCCGCAGCCTCAGGGATGGCTCTTACAGCCAGGCAGCTTCGACCCACAGGTAGTCAAGCATCCTGACTCAGCCAGCTTAGGCAGCAAGGGGAATTTATTGCCTTAATACCAATGCAACTCACAGATGAGGAACCAGAGTGTGCAGTCAACAAGGTTCACGACCTCAGGGCTAGACTAAGAAAAACGCAAATTAACACAGTAATGAGATGCCATTTCCCATTCATCCGAGAGGCAAGGGTTGGCCCAATGTGAGGGAAAGGGAAGGCACACACACTGCTGGTAGGAGGGTAAATTGGTAACAGCCAAATGGGAGAACGGCTGGTGATAATCGAATAGGGCTGGAGGCACACATTCCTTGAGACCTGGCAATTCCCCTCCTCGGAGTGAGTGCCAGAGACACCCTCACTTGTATATGCAAGGAGACGTGTTCAGAAACGTCCCTTGCAGGAGTGCTTGTCATTGGGAAGAATTCAAAACAGCTGAAATGTCCATCAGTTAGGAGAATGAATGGATAAACTATGGCCAATCCCTAAAATGGAATATTACACAGCAGTGAAAAATGAGTGGGTTGGAACTATACGCAACAACATGAGTCATTCCTCAAGACAACGCTGTATCGACAATTAAGTATCATGATGGTATAATTGGCATGATACCATTAATATAACATTTAAAAAACAGGCAACACAATCTGATATTTCTGAGATACATTTATAGTAAAGTTACAAACATATGTGAAGAAAGAATCCCCCCATGTTCAGTGTAGTGGCCATCTGTGGGCTGGGGAGGAGGCAGGAGGCAGGACCGGGGTTGGGGACAGACAGCTGAGTGCATGCTGTGTCTGCAGTGCTTGATTTCTCCGGTAAAGTGACCTCTATAGAGGCATTTGTTTATATGCCTGAGATATTAATAACAACATGTGAAAGAAGGAGAAAAGAAAGTCAGCATAAGGGAGATCAACTTAGAATCATCAGAGAAGGTGAGTTTCCAACATTCATCCACTGTCGTTGGGAGGAGGGTGTCAAAGCCACCTTGTCTGGTCCCCTCCCCTTGTCTAGATCCCCCAGGTGGGGTAGCTCAATGCCGTGAGCTGTCAAGATCCCCTAGTCCTCACCCCTTGGATAGACCCCCCAACCCTCACCCCTTGGATGATTCTGTGCTCATCAGGAAACTCAACATTGATTTGCCGTCCCGTAGAGTTCTTCACTGTGGGGAGTGATGACCTAGGGTATCAGGAGAATCTGGCACTCAGGGTTATCAGGAGAATCTCTTACTCTCCTGTTGTAACCTTGTATGGGTGCATGTTAGCTCGAGCTCATTCATCCCTGGCCTGCACCAAGCCAGGATTTCAACTCACGTTCTATGGGGACCCTGGCTCTTGGTGAGGCCGAGTGGAAAGGCAAGAACTTTGGGGCTGGACACCCAGGGTCACCCCCAGCCCCCGTGGTGCTAGGCGTGCATTAGAAAATGCACCCCTTCCACAAGACATTTTGCAAACTCTGGAACTAAACGCCACCAGCACTTGCTGGTCACCTGTGCCCGGAGGTCAGATCAGATTCCTTTGTCCACAAGAACACCTGTCAGGAGCCTCTGTGCCACGTAACCCTGGCAGCCCACAGTGCACCTCTGGGATCTCTCTGTGAGGCCGCCGCCTGGTTAGGTGAACGTTACTATTACTCTATTTGAGTGGAGGGAACCTTCGGGCATGCTAGGGAGCATACAGGGCTAGTAAGTTGTAGCGGTGGACTATTATGCCCTTTAAAAACCCATCACCTTTTCCTATTAGCCATATAGTCTTTTTTTTTTTTTAAAGATTTTATTTATTTGAGAGAGAGAATGAGAGAGAGAGAGCACGAGAGGGAAGAGGGTCAGAGGGAGAAGCAGACTCCCTGCTGAGCAGGGAGCCTGATGCGGGACTCGATTCCGGGACTCCAGGATCATGACCTGAGCCGAAGGCAGTCGCTTAACCAACTGAGCCACCCTGGCGCCCCAGCCATATAGTCTTAAAAATAATGTCAATTTGGTAAAAAAAAAATCCGTCAAACAATTGCTTGAGGATATGTGCACAGAACAATCCATCAGCTGACAGAATATTTCCTTTTTTACCCAGTTACAAATTGCTACACTTGGCTTAAAATGGTGAAGGACGGAAGCTCTTGGGAAACAGCAGGTTTTTGGGCTCCGATGTGAGCTCAGCTGTGGAAGAACACGACCAGCAGGGGGCGCCAGTGCCTCTCCTCTGAGTCCTCACTTGTGCTTTCAGGGCAACGTAGAGGGAGATCTGGCGGCAGATCTCAGCAGCAGCCTCAAGGGGACCCAATAGGGGATGCGTGCAAAGTGCCCCGTCGGTGCCCCGTCCACAGCTTTGGACTCCCGTCGTGTGTGTCGGGGGTGGCTGTCCTCACTCCCAGGTGAGGGCTGGGAGCATTCTGGGTTCTCCTGGGGATGCTGAGAACTAGAGTTTCAACAAATGTGTTCCTTCCCCCTGCCCCCACCACCTCTCGCTCCCCATGGGCCATCCTTGTCCCCATCAAGAGGCTTTGCTGAACATGGTTGTGGGGTGTTCCCGTGCAAGGAGAGTCCCCCAGGTAGGGCGGGTGGAACATGGTCAGGGAGCAGGCTGGGGCAGCGGGTGGGGAGGACACTTTCACGGGGTCTGGTGGGGAACGGACAGTAAGATTAGCTCCTCCTCGGAGTGGAGCCAGGGGACCACGGGGGAGGGGACGGGGGAAGGGTGAGGGCCGTGTTTTGATGCTCAAAAGGAGAATTGTGGTATGCTGTTTCAGCCACATTAAAAACCATACATCGGGGAGGGTATGTGCTATGGTGAGCGCTGTGAATTGGGCAAGACTGTTGAATCACAGACCTGTCCCTCTGAAACAAATAATGCAA